GTCGACATAAAACTTGAGATTAATTTTTTCATTTCCATTGAAATTTTTGTTTAAATATCATTTGTCTTTTATTCATACTATCAAACTTAAAAAAAACAAACAGAAAAACTTAAAGTAAACGCGCACACTCTCGCAGAAAGTTCTCTGTTCTCAATAACCATTCATCTTCTTACTGTACCAAGCCTTCACATCACATGTTTTCTTCCAAGTCAGTATAGCAGTAATTGCAGTCACCCACCGGTTAACGTTAGGCCGGTTTTCAAACAATCTCTTCGCAGGTGTGCCCATAAGGTATTGTATATTAGGAAGGTGAAAAAGATCAGCCAATGTGAAGTTGTTACTAGCCAAGAAGCTAGAATTTTTGAGTCGTTCTTCATAGATATCTAGAACTTTCTCTAGCAACGACTTGGTTTCATTCACGACCTTATAGTCCGGCTTTTGACCCACCAAAAGCTTGATGGCTAGCTCCTGAGTCAGTATCGATGCAGGAGGATCGAACTCAAAAGATTTGATATACATCCACATTGTTTCTATCCCCATTTTCTTGTAGCTTTTGTGATTCAAAAGTTGTGTGCCTCTTGATCTATGAACAGTCGCGATGTATAGTGATATGGCTCGGGATTCTGAGGAAAACAAATTTTTATTAATTACATCCAAAAATAAAATCGGAAAAAATGTTGATGAGATCCGTTAGTTTAAAACTTACCAAACAACTTAAGATCCCCGTCTACCAAAACAGGATTAGACCAAATGGCTGCAATAATAAACAAATGGTTAGACTTTAAACCTAAAATGTAGCATAACTTGACTCACTAGGCCATAAACCCTAGTAAAAATAAAAACAATAACTACTGTATTAATAAACAGCTTAAATCTACCTCAATATGAATTCGAAATTATTTATGATTACATGGGATTTGGAGGAGTTTACAGAGGTAATCGGTGAGTGTCGAATTCTGATGGATTTCATAGAAAATTCAGAGAAACTCGTTGAATTTCATCGGCATTTGGCTCCGGTTGAAGTTTGGTGGCGGTGAATATTGCAGCCACTTGTAGGACACTGTGTTATTAGGTTTGAATGATAATCTTATTTAATGTTTTAAATTGTTTTGGGCTTAATCGCTGTAATGCTCATTAGGAAATTGGGTTCACATTTTACCTTCTGTATTTTGCAAATGTTGGGCTTCCATAATATATGAAATGTTGACCAAAAAAATACATGGGCTTATGATTAACATCCAAAGAAATACATCAATCCGTAATTCTGAATTTTAAGCTGCATCAATATCATACAATAACAAATATATAGTTTGTACTTTTCTTCTGGGGCTCAAGCTCGTTTATATCATTTAGTAATTTCGATCATGAAGACAAACAAAAATAAAGAGTCAATTATGAGTGATAAATGATTTTCTAAATTAGTTAGGTTGGCAAGCCATCTACTCTTCACCACCGTACACCTACCTTTATGTTCCATTTGCTATACCCACAAACTATAGGTTCTTTTTGTTTGTATTTTAAATCATTTCAATTTTTTTTAAGAATAATTTATCCATCATTACAAAAGATTTACCGCACTTAATTATCCACATTTATTTATCTTTATTTTAAAGTTTAGTCTTCTGTATATGCTCACGGTAAATTAGTAGTAACAAACAAAATTAGATATGCTTTATTCTAGTAATGCATACACAAATATCCGGGACTTGTGACATATACATACGCACAAAGTTGTATATATGTTCCAAAACAAAATAAAACGAATGGAATATACTTTTGTGTATTTATAGAGGTAAAATATATGATATTGATATGTGCATATGAAGCGATATAATGATTTCATTTATAGATAAAAAAAAATGATTTCATTTATTTACGAGCAATATAGTAACATAAGTCAGCATAACCCGTTTGACTTTTTACATCCCATTCAATGACACATTTCTAACTTATTATTCCACTGCCATGTCCCACTTTATTCTCCTTTTAGGTTAACATTTGAATATTTTCATCGGTAAAAATCGAAGAGACAAGAAAAAGCATTAAAGAAGAATCCAAAAAGTCAAAATAGTGACACAAGAAGTGTTTCTTGTAGGCTTAATGAGAAGACAAAAACAAACTCGAAGGCAAAAAAAATGAGATGTGTCTTTCTAAAGTAAAGTCTATGTCTCGAGTTTCTTACCAAATCCTAATACCGATAACCCAAAACGAGGAAGTTTTCTTAAAGAAAAAAAACAAAAATGTTTTATTTTAATACAAAAGGTATTATTGGAAGATACAAACAAAAATAATAAAAAAATGCTCTGTTCTGAACCATATATCGTGAGTTCACCTAGATTACTTACAAATTTTATTTTAATCATTAAGTATATAAATGTACTTGAAAAGAGTTTTTTGAGTCAAACTAAAACGAATTAAAACCGCACCAGTACATTGATAACTCACCTTAAAACAAATTAACCCAATCAAGCTTGAACCTATTCAACAAGACAAAAAAAAAATTATTTAATTTATTAGTTTATTTTCGTTTTAAATTTTCTTTGATTTTCCAAAACAGACCAAGTATTCTCAAACTGAAAACTAAATAAAGTAATAAACCAAACCAAAAACCGAAATAGTATCAGTTTGTAGCTGCACCGATAAAAGATTAGATCATTATCTCATCACCAAACCAAACATGCGTTAACCTTTAACCGTAAACTTCTAAATTTAAAAATAGACGACTTTTTTCTGCTTCTTCTTCTTCCCCAATCCCCACCATCTTTTTTGGTGCCTTATGTTCTCAACTAATCCCATTTAATTCGCCACACAGC